ATCTCCTCCTCCTCTTCCTCAGGACAATTAAAAGCTGCCCATTTTCTACCATATGGTGTGTCCGACAGTCTGCCATGTTTTTGTTTCCTCACAATAATCCTAGGGTTACATCCACAAACTGTGTGGGCTTTTAATAATGAAGGATTAGGTCGAACAAAGTAAATTTTATATCTCTTCGGAGGTGCTTTTGCAGAAATAACAATTTCCCTTTTACCTTCATGCCTTCGTCTATTATCATGACCTTAAAAACTCTCATTCACGGATCCCGTCTGCAATCCGCCATCAAAGCGGTTAACTATGTCAACTTGATTACCACCGTTTCAAAACCCTCGACCTACTTCGAGAGTCTGCTGTCATTCGACAGTCTTCCTAGTCAGGATCGATGCAGCGGGTGGAGCTTCTTTGCGTGGACTCTCCATGGGATGGTGTGTGGTCCTCCAGTCGCCCATGCTGCTGCGGCGGCCGCTGCCAATGCCGTATTTGCATAGTATTTGCATTCGCTGCGCAGTAGGCAAGGAAATGCATCCACACCTTTTGATGATTACTTTGGTGCCTCGAATAATACCCTGACATTTGTGTGCCGTGTTAAATGTCCGATCAATTCATTGCGATCTTGGGCCCATAAGGTACCACTGGCTTGGAGTGGCTAGTACTTTTCACATCTCTTTCTTCTTGTGCCCTTTATTTTCCCAGTTTTGATCGAGTCATCCCTTTTGGACTAAAGTTAGAGTCGATATTTTAGTTTCTCGAAGATGAAAAAAAATAGCATGCACGGAGGAAAATGTAGTACCAACGTGTCGCCCAGTGAAAGTGCAAATCAAGATTTCGATTAGGCATTTGATTTGTTGGGTTTCGTGAATTTTATTGTCTTGGTATCCTCTGCCTAGAACCTCAAGGCGCTGTTTTAGCTAACCCCTCTGCTCTATTTCTACCATGGAAATTCAAGACTTTGGTGTCGTGTACGATTAATTTTTCGCCACCATGCACTTGCGTGCTCCCCGGTTTTTAGCATACTTTGCTTCACTTT